GTGAAGTTCAAGGATTCATACCGAGAAGTTCAGGTACTTCACGCGATGCATTTTCGGCGAATCTGTTTCACGATAAAGGCAGAACTAATGATCTCGCCGTTTTTCAAATTACTTGAAAACAGCTAGGAATCAGAGAAAACTATCAACATGGAAAAGTTTCACATTTTCCGTAGCTTTTCAACGGTATATTATTTGTGCCATTCCGATAAAGTTTGTAGAAACTACGGTGAAAATACGTTTTTTGCCATTTTCTAAACAGATTTAAAACCGTAAAGAATTGGGAGAAATAATACATACCAAAAAGTTTCGCATTTGTTCAAGCTTTCTAACGCCATATCATTTGCCACATTCGGACAAACGGTTAAAAACTTAGCTCGAAAATACGAACTCGGTAGGACTTATACTGTTTTCTAAATTACTTTTAAACCGTTCAAAATTAGATAACACTTTCAAAATTAAAGAGTGGCGCATTTTCATAAGCTTTCCAACGCCATATCATATTCCTCAATTCGATTAGTTGTTTAGAAATGACGTCGAAAATATGAACTCGGCTGTTCGGTTTGCGAAATTTTACGGTTTTTCTAATTATTCTTTAACCATAGAGAATTAGAGAAAACTTTCAACATAAGGAAGTAGCGGTTTTGCAGCAGCTTTCCAACGCCATATTATATGCCTCATTCCGATAAACGTTTAGAAATGCAATCTAAAATACGATTCACGTTTTTGTGTGAAGAAAAAACGGTTTTCAAAACTGCTCTTAAACCGCTTACATTTTGCCAAAAATTTAAGTTGGGTCATGATACTGGTGTCCATAGCTTTCTAACAGTATATCGCAAGCCCCATTTGGGCAATGTTGGCGGAAGTTCAACGTAGTTCACAGGGAAGTTCAACGTACTACTAGCGGGGCAGGTCAGGTTGTGATCAGAATATTATTCTCATCCCGTGATCATATATATATATATATATATATATATATATATATATATATATATATCCAGTTGGATGTAGGTGATAATGAGTTATTATTTTTGACATTACCCTTGAGGTAAATAAGTTGGGAGGCGAAACCATAAGCCCATATCTTTCTATGTGTCTGACTAAGACTTTTTGCTCTGTAAATATGCCTTGACTGTCAGCAATCATAGAAGACTAAATGATGGTTTAGTATGTGAACTTTATAAACAAAGCACTTACATAGACTCTTTTTGAAAATATGATGGATTGTGATTGTTTCAATGACTTAGAACATAGCTTGTAAGTTTCCAATAAAGTTTATGTTCCATACTTTAGATGGTGAATGAATTGTTACTCTAGCATGAGAAGTTTATGATGATATATTACTGTTATGTTAATGACTATGATGCTTCCATGTCCATATTTTATTTTTATTGACACCTCTCTCTCTCTCTCTCTCTCTCTCTCTCTCTCTAAACATGTGGTCATGATTATCTATTTCGGCTTTCGCTTGAGGGCAAGTGAGGTCTAAGCATGGGGGAGTTGATACGTACATTTTGCATCATGTTCTTATGTTGATCTTTATTGCATTATGGATTGTTTTTCACTTTATAATACAATTCTTATGCCTTTTCTCTCTTATTTTGCAAGTTTGACATAAAGAGGGAGATCACTGACAGCTGGAATTCTGGACAGAAACGGGCTACATTGGTGCCAATTTTTCTGAACATCTCCAGATGAGCTGAAAACTGATGGAGAATTATTTTGGAATAAATTAAAATTATTGGAGAAAGAAATAGCAGATGGGGACCCACCAGGTAGCCACAAGCCAGGGGGGCGCCCCACCCCCTTGGGCGCAACCCCGAGCTTGTGGCGCCCTTGGCAGGCCTCCGGGGCCCATCTTCTCCTATATGATGCCATTTGCCCTAGAAAAAATCAGAAGGAAGGTTTCGGGACGAAGCCCCGCCATCTCGAGGCGGAACCTGGACAGGAGCACTTTTGCTCTCCAAGGAGAGATTCCGCCGGGGAAACTTCCCTCTGGGAGGGGGGAATCGAAGCCATCATCATCACCAATGATCCTCTCATCGTGGGAGGACCAATCTTCATCAACATCTTCACCAGCACCATCTCATCTCAAACCCTAGTTCATCTCTTGTATTCAATCTTTGTCTCAAAACCTCAGATTGGTACCTGTGGGTTGCTAGTAGTGTTGATTACATCTTGTAGTTGATGCTTGTTGGTTTATTTGGCGGAAGATCATATGTTCAGATCCTTGATGATATTCTTTACCCCTCTGATTTTGAGCATGAATATGTTTTGTGAGTAGTTACGTTTGTTCTTGAGGACATGGGAGAAGTCTTGTCATAAGTAATCATGTGAATTTGGTAGTCGTTCGATATTTTTATGATATGCATGTTGTTGTTTCCCTTAGTGGTGTTATGTGAACGTCGACTACATGACACTTCTACATCATTGGGCCTAAGGGAAAGCATTATGGAGTAGTTATTAGATGATGGGTTGCTAGAGTGACAGAAGCTTAAACCCTAGTTTATGCGCTATTCCGTAATGGGCTGATTTGGATCCATATGTTTCATGCTATGGTTAGATTTGTCTTAATTCTTCTTTCATAGTTGCGGATGCTTGTGAGAGGGGGTAATCATAAGTGGGAGGCTAGTTCAAGTAAGAACAACACTCAAGTACCAGTTCACCCACATATCAAATTATTAAAGTAACGAACACGAATCAAACAAACATGATGAAAGTGACTAGATGAAATTCCCGTGTGTCCTCAAGAATGCTTTGCTTATTATAAGAGACTGTTCCAGTCTATCCTTTTCTACAAAAAGGATTGAGCTACCTTGTTGCACCTTTTTACCGTTACTACTACTATTTGCCCCGTTACGAATTTTCTTGCTATCAAACTATCTGTTACCGACAATTTCAGTCCTACAGAAAACACCTTGTTGAAAACCGCTTGTCATTTCCTTCTGCTCCTCTTTGGGTTCAACACTCTTACTTATCAAAAGGACTACGATTGATGCCTTATACTTGTGGGTCATCACTTTTCCGCATGGTGAACTGGAGGAGGGGATTTAAATGGACCAACCAGAAGGTTTCATAGTGCCTAGTAAGGAGAAATTTGTTTGCAAGTTAAAGATGTCCTTATTTGGTTTGAAACAGTCTCCGAGACAGTGGTAAAAGGTTTGATTCCTTTATGATAGCGCATGGATTTAAGAGGTCTGCATATAATAGTTGTGTTTACATTAAATTTGTTGATGGGTCACCTATATACTTGCTGTTATATGTTGATGACATGTTGATTCTTGCCAAAGGTAAGAAAGAGATCATTGCTTTAAAGGCACAGTTAAGTAGTGAGTTTGAGATGAAGGATCTTGGTGCTGCTAAGAATGTTTCAGGTATGGATGTTACAAGGGACAGGAATTCCGCTTTGTTATTTCTTAGTTAGCAGAGTTACATTAAGAAATTTCTTCACCATTTTGCCTGCTGCTAAGTCAGTAAGCACTTCAATTGCTCCTCATTTCAAATTATCATCTCCTCAGTGTCCCAGTACGGATGAGATTTTGAGTATATGTCAAGAGTTCCATATTCTAGTGATGTCGGTTCTTTAATGTATGACATGGTGTGTTCTAGGCCTGATTTGTCATTTGCAATGAGTTTGGTCAGTAGATACATGGCTAACCCCGGTAAAGAACATTGGAAGGCTGTTTAGTGGTTTCTCAGGTACCTTCGTGGCACTTCCAATGCTTGTTTAAAATTTGGTAGGACTGGTGAGAGACTAGTTGGATATGTGGATTCAGATTTTTCCTTCCAGCGATTTGGACAAAAAGAGGTCCCTTATAAGTTATGTGTTCACTGTTGGTGGTTGTGCCGTGAGTTGGAGGGCAACGTTATTGCAGCCAGTAGTTTCCCAATGTACCACTAAAGGCAAATACATGGCTATTACAGAAGCATGTAAAGAATCAGTTTGGCTGAAAAGGTTTGTATGCTGAGCTTCGTGGAGATAATTTGTGCATTAACCTGTTTTCTGAGAGCCAGAGTGCCATATACCTCACTAAGGATCAGATGCTCCATGAGAGAACAAAGCACAGTGATGTCAAATACCATTATGTTAGGGACATTGTTGAGCAAGGTAAACTAAAAGGTATGCAAGATTACTACTCATGATAATCCTGCTGATATGTTGACAAAGTCAGTTCCTGTTGCTAAGTTTAAGCTTTGCTCGGACTTAGTTGATATAACACATTAGCCCTAGTGGTTGTTTGGCGCCAAAAGTGTTTTCTTTGTTGTGCAGGGAGAAGGTTCTCATTCATGCTATAAGATGGAATTTTTCTCAAGGTGAAGTTTGTTATGTTATGATCCAAATTCAAGTATAACATAAATGCTAACTTCTGACAAGTGAGCGGAGCGAGACCCGTCGTCTGTAGGCTTGGGCCGAAGTGGAGATCAGTATTGACCTAGGTCACCTGTGTTATATATATGCTTTGTAAGTCACCGTACGAGATAAGTTGATCAATTGTAGATCCCGGCGCTTGCAACCTCCCTCGATATAGTGAAGATTTGCTGGCTGACGCCCGTTACCATCCCCCCTCGTGTTGGATATGTTTTCCACGTTAAAATCACGTGTCTCTCGTGTTGATTTCTTTATCGTGTTCGATTGCGTATCTCTAATGACCACCTACGGTCCATTGGTTTAAGAAATAATATAATAATTTTCATAATGATCAGTGAGGCCACGTACAAACGAACAGACGGCCCTTACACTGAAGAACACAACGGATGGGTGCAGCACACGCACTGCATCTGCACATCCAAATTACACACAAGAACAAAAATCACGATACCTAATCAAACGATCGAGGCAGCATTCGCGCGCGTGCATGCAGGAGCTCCGGGCGGCCGGCCGATCGATCGATCCTGCGCGCCCACCGCACGAGCCATGCGTGCATGCATGCATGCAAGCCCGGGGTAACCGGAGGATAAATTATTTAATTAGTACTCGACGCCGGCGGACGGAGGGTCGTCGATCAGAAGTCGCCGGCGGCGGGTTTGGCTTTCCCCCCCTTGGCGCCCTCGCCCTCGGCGGTGTTCATGCTGAAGCTGTTGAGACTGCGGCCGCCGGCGCCGTTCATGGAGAAGCTGTTCTCCTGCACGCCCGCGGCAGCTTCCACCGGAGCCGCGGTGTGGCTCACCAGCAGGAGCCCCAGCAGGGCCAGGCCGAGCAGGGTCATGCGCAGCTCGTTGTTCCTTGCGCCCGCCATTGATGCCTTTGCAAGATTGAGAGATTGCGCGGATGGAGGTGGGTTTATGTGCTTATTGCGGTGGATTATTCGCGAGCTCTGGTGGTGGGTGGAGGAAGGAGGCGGTGTTCTTGAGGATTTATAGTGGGAGGAGAGCGAGAGAGGGGTGGTGGGGAGTGGGTTCAGGAGAACGTCTCGTGTTCTTGCGGTTCTGCTTAAGTGTAGGCAAATGGCGTGGATCCACAATTCCTAATGTTGAAGCCATTGGAACGCCTATTAGCATGGGACCTTCTGTTCGTATGCGTCATGCATGCGGTGCGTTTTAAACTTTGCTCGGTCCCGTAATCCATATCTGCGAGAAACGAAAGGAGAAATGGTTTTTAAATTATAGCGCATTTTTTACCCTAAAAAAATACAGGGCATTTAATTATTATTTAACTATTAGAAAATACACTATGTTCCAAAATACCCGAATTTTAGGCTTATTTTAAGTTAAAGGTCTTCAAATTTGATTATGCCTATGGATAATTCATCGGCAACATCAAACTAGTCTCATTAGATTTATCATAAAGTATAACTATAAAAATTCATCATGAAGTATATTTTCATGCTATATACGGTTGATGTTGTATATGTTGATATATTTATTATAGATTTGGTCAAACTTAAAGATGTTTGATTTAAGATAAATGTAAAACTTAAAATATTATGAAATGGAGGGAGTATGAAATAGTTTAGGTATGCTTCACCACACGTGGAAACATTAACTTTTTTTGATATGGATTAATGGTTGAGATTAAAACATGCCCCCTATATATACGTTGCCTGGGCGCAGCAAGAGCTATGTCTCGCTTGAGGCATGTACAGTAATGAGCGGCCCAATGGTGAACACTTCAAATAAAAAAGAAGAAAAAGGGAGAAGCCAGGGATTGAACCAGTAGCTCAATGTAGGAGTTGACATGAAAAAGTAGGGCGCGGCCAACTAAAGGCAAAAGAGCCGGTTATTCCACTGGTTTTCCAGGTGTTTTCTGTTTTTGTTTTTTCAATATTTTTCACTGGATTTCTCTGTTTTTACTGGGCCTTATATTTTCTTTACTTCTCTTTGTTTTCCTTTGGTATTCTTTGTTTGTTTCTAAATTTTCTCGGCCTGTTTCTAAATGTTCTTTCTAGTTTTTATTGGCTTTTGTATTTTCTTGGTTTTCACTATCTTTTCATACACATTTTTGGTATATATCTAATGTATTTTTCTAATACACAATTAATAATTTTAAAGTATAAGATTAACATTTTTTTTAATATTCAGTTAACATTTTTTATGTACACATTTTAATATTTTTAAATGTTTGATTAACATTTTCTAAGGGCATCTCCAATGCCGACCCTCAAACTGTCCGCATACGTCTGGAGCACACTGTCCGGATGTGTTGCACCATTCAATGCGGGCATGTATCCGTCCGCAGAGCGGCCGGACGTAATTTCTCCCGCAAACCGAAGACAAACATGGGGTGGGGACCTTGTGGGCATCCGGACAGCACCCACGCCCGCGTCTAACCACACTGGCCCACCCAAAAACCCCTCCTCCTTCACCCGCGCATGTTCTCTCCCAGCGCAAGCTGCCAGCATTGCTGCCGCGTAGAGCGGCCGCTCCATGTTGAAAACGGTTCAATGCAAACGCGACCTCTCACCGCCTCCGGCATTGAAGCGGTGCGCCGGCCGAGGCCGCCACCCGCTGCATGCCCGGCAGAACACGCCTCCTCTCCGCATTCAAACACGTGTGGAAGCTTAGAAACCTACTCCTGCCACACGTTCATTCACGAGCGGGCCGACATTTGATACGTCTCTGACGTATCTATAATTTTTTAGTATTCCATGCTATTATATTATCCATCTTGGATGTTTTATATGCTATTTTATATTATTTTTGGGATTAACCTATTAACCTAGAGCCCAATGCCATTTTCTGTTTTTCTTTGTTTTTGAGTTTTACAGAAAAGGAATACCAAACGGAGTCCAAATGACCTGAAAATTTATGGTGATTTTTTATGGACCAGAAGAAGCCCCTGAAGCAAAAGAGTTGGGCCAGAAGAGTCCCGAGGCCACCACAATGATGGAGGGCGCCCCCCTACCTAGGGCGCGTCCTCCGGTCTTGTGG